TAAAAACTAAATTCATCTATTAAATGCTACAAGTGAATTTAAGCATTGCAACATGCACAGTATGTAAAATGGATATTAATTTTAAAATATATAATACATAATAATAATAATTTTAATACATATTATTGCCCTTTTGTTGGTTTTGATTGCTTCTATTGTCCTCATTTGTCAGTCACTTGTAAACTCATTTGTAAATGTAAGATTGGCAGAGATTATATTTAACAGTGTTAATTAATGATCAGTGTTTCTAAAGATTAACTTTAAATATGCATTAGATGGCAGCAAATGTAATCTAAATGTAAAAATAGGGAACAATTAGTATAAACAATTAAATATGTAATATTGGCCTATAGGATAAGTTGAATCTTCTGTTTATTCAGCTGCAGCGACAGGCATTTTCTGGGTTTCTTCTGCAAGGCGTATTTGGAGTTTCAGCATGAGAGCGCCCTCTGGCCTTTGGATGGAGATTTACTGCTGATCACAGAACAGTGCTTCACTGAAAGATACGCATGACAATCGCAGCTTCTGTCGAATCGCAATCTCGATTCCATTTCGATTTACCGTGCAGCCCTATATATATATACAGTGTGTATATATATATATATATATCATTAATATCAGCTGATAACTGATATGTATCGTGCATCCCTATTAGAAAAAGGTCATTAATCAAATAAAAATTTTTAGTCAATATTTACTAATATTCATAATTCATAACATTTTGTTATTTACAGTGTTTCAAAATCCTAAAACTTTCTAAAGTTTAAATTGTATTGTAAATTGCAGATATCCAGTGTAGTCAAAGATCTGATCTTTCTGTGTTCATTCAGGGTTTTCTCCCTGCATAGTGGGCTATATTGTCACTGCAGCCCATGTGGTGTACCAGTGCTATGAGAAAAATAACCAAGAGCCGAAAATGAAATGATTCATTGTGATTCCCCGCTGAGGGATGACCTCTCCCCCAGCCATTTTGCAACCATAATGTATTACATCAAATCCATTTATTCCCCTTACAGCCAGTTATTCTCTGAACCAAATCAGGTTAATTGCCTTGAAAATGAATATCTAGCTCAGGATTAATTTGGGAATCGGGGAATGTAATGGAATCTTAACACGGTCCCCATTTTAATCTCTGCTCTCTTTGTGTACAGGGAGTCTCAGCACCCCTCTGTCCCATATCACTACTACGAACCGACGGGTCCGGACGAATGTGCCATGTACATCTCCCACGAGCGAGGCCGACGAGGCAGCCACCATCGCTTCATCACAGAGAAGCGAGTCTTTGCCAGCTGGGCTCGGACGTTCAACATCCATTTCTACCAGCCGGACTGGAGTCCTCCACCATTATCGAGAAATAGCACGGCAACCACAGCCTTCACCCGATCGCAGAAGATGTGACTCTTACTAGAACCTTCAAAAGATCTCAAACTGCCTCAAACGGATCACTGGATAATTCCTGTTGCCACGTGGATGGATTGACTGAGAGAGACTCTGATTCATGGAGAAGTGATGCTTAAACCTTTTCTTTTGCACATTCATTGTTTCTTTAGGTACAAAAGTCATTCTAATAATTTGTACGCATCCATATTTCAGAAGATTTTTCTTAGTTTTATGCGGTGTATAAAAAAAACTAGAAAGGGTGGCGGAGTGTAGAAGATCCGCCTGCAACAAAATTTGAGCTAAAGATAATGTAAAACAGCATTCACAAGTCATTTTACTTTCATAATATCACATATTTCTGAGTGAAACAGGATAGTCAATGAGAGAACAGAAGGATGGCACTTGATTTTGTCCAACTGGAATTGATTTGATTGTGAAAAGTGGTCTCTAAATACTCTGTGTCAGGTGGTTGACATCTGCAGAACGGGGAATGCAAGGACATGTCTTTTTTTGGATTCATTTTGATGAAAGATTATGAAGACAGCTTTTAAAAGAACATAAAGAGATAAACTGTTTGAAATGAGACCTGAAATGAAATGCTATAAGAAAGTAAACAATGCCAGTTTTGATTAATGTTGACCTTAAATAATCAACGGACCCAAAAATGTCCAGTTTTAATGTCCCGCACACTCTTAAAAATAAAGGTTCTTTATTGGCATTGATGGTTCCACGAAGGAAGTTCAAAATCTTAACTGCACAAAAGGTTTTTTTTTTTTTTTTATTATTATTAAAATGTAAAGAAAATAATGGTTCTTTTAAGAACTGTTCACTGTATAAAAAAAATGTAAAAAAAAATACTGTTTTTAAATATGTTTTACATTAACTATCCAACTTAAAACTTTTTACAACTTGATTTTTTTATTTATTTAATTTCAGTTGAAATTACTTGTACAACCAAGTTGATTATACTTAAAAAGTAAAACACTTAAGGCAACTGATCTTAAGTTTTTAAGTTGAAATGGGTGGATTTTTTATTTTTTTTTACTGTGTACTTTTTGGAACCAAAAATGTTATGCCAATTTTATGGCATTGCTTCTATGGCATTTAAAACCTTTATTTTTAGGAGTGTATAATATGTAAAAAATGTTAAGGACATACTGACATTTTAATGATACACAGGAAATTAATTTCAAAGTACAGTTGTTGTTTTTTATTTTTTTATTTATTCTTTATTTACCTATTTTATTGTCCCCAGTGACACTGGATTGTTGTATTTTTAGAAATATTTATTTATTCAGTCAGTCTTTGTTTTATGCTTTACACCGTTACATAGAAGGTAAAAGGTGCAAACAATTGTATTTGATTGTGAGATTGATTTTAAATGTTTTTTTTTTTGTTAAAACAGAAAAGTGACTTAATATTCACTGTCATTCTTCAGTTTTGATCTAGCTTTCTCACATTTATCAAAACTTAATTTTTTAAGATGAATCCAGCTGGAATGCGTAAGGATCCACAAGAAATGCAGCAGCATGAAGCCAACACAGAGCTTCTAAAAATGAAATCGAAACCCAACATACATGTTTTTTGTGGTCAGTCTGGAGAGGAGCGTGTCAGAGGTGTACAGGACACATACTGGTGTAATTACGGCCGTCACAGCTGAAGGCCATGCATCGTTGACCATGACCACGCTGCACCTGTCAATCATGCAAATATACACACGCGTCGGGACTGTTAAAGCAGCCGCCGCATTAATGCGCTCCAGATGACTGGCAAGCATTGCTGTTGAATGCACAAATGTTTGCAGATACGCTGCACAGCTATGAGTGATGAGGCAGCCTATTATAGCTTGAATTATTGCAAAAGCTACTGTTCTTTGTATAAATGCAGAAATGCCTGTCCATCTTGAGGGGAAGCACAAGAATCCGGCGAGATTTATTTCTGTATGCTAACAGCTATAGAAGAAATCATGTGTCACGTGGAAAAAACAGCAGTAAGAAAAATGTTTTCAAGATAAAGTCATTCCTATGATAATAGGGTTGTTATCTTAATTGATCTGGCCACAATAATTACGTTTATTTTATTTTAAAAACAGAGAAATGACATTGGTAAACAGCTAAAAGGTTAATTAAAGGAATATTCCGGGTTCAGAAGTTGTTCAATCAACAGCACTTGTGGCATACTGTTGATTAAAATGCAGAATGATTTCAATTTGTTCTTTAACAAAAGCAAAGAGTCAAGGCTGCAATGAGTCACTTACAATTGAAGTGACTGGGGCCAATTTAAAAGCAGAAATGTGAAGCATACCATTTTATTTGCATTACAGTTTTTCTCAATTGCTTTGGCGTACTGCATAAATACAAATGTTCATATACTTTTTTTTTTTTTCTATGTACTATTGACTCTTCTCAACAAATATCAGATTTTTTATAAAACCTTCATTTCCATGGTTGACTGTCATGGTGAAAAAAACAACTAAACATTTTGACCAGTGTGGCTCACACTATGACAAAAATACTTTATATTTTGGTGGCCTTGGCCAAATTACTGACACGATAACTAGGTTTTGAAGCATGAATGAAATGTTTTGGGTGAGTAACTACATTTTGCAGACATGCAATAAAGTTCTGAAGTTCCAGCAAACAGTTGTGACATTTGCACTCACAGTTTAGAGAATGTTAAGATTGTTTCGAAAAATGTGCCAAAGCAATTGAGAAAAACTGTAATTCTCGTTAAAACGTGTATTATATGAGTTGTGCAGCTGTTTTCACCATTTTAAAGTCATTTGAGATTTTTAGGTATGTTGTTAAGGGTTATTATATTTAGCAAATTATTGTAATTTTTTATTGAAAATTTGAAAAAAAATAAAAAATTTGCTGAAATAAAAATTAAAAATAAACTTATTTTATTTAAATTTCATTTAGTTTAACTTGATGTACTAAAATATTTAAAACTAAAATAAAAATAAGAAAAAAGATACATTAAAAAAAATTTAAATGACAAATACAGAACAAATTTACTAAAACTTTAAAATGAAAATGAAAACAGGAAAAATAAAAAGTAATTCAGTGATACTATGAAAGTACCGCAATGATATTAAAATAACTGATGCTGTAAATTTGGATATAACTTTACTCAAATATTAACATGCATATTGTTTATATCTATAATCTTGAATGAGTGAGTAATGTTTACAGATTCAATGCTACTGTAAGTACCTTTTTCTAAGAAAAAAGTATATAAAAAGTATGTCATAAAGCTGTCGATTAAGCTTAATTTATAATATATCCAGAATATTGGTACAGCATGCACATTCTTGTTAGTTTAATACAAGACCACTTCCTCATCTTTGGTTTCTCTGGTTTGTGCAAACACTGTAGACAATCTCTGAAAACAGGGTTACTCTGTAAAGAGAGAAAACACAATGAATAGAGTAGCTCAAGTGTGGCACTATGGTATGATATTGAAAGAGAGAATTGGTGAGAAATAAAGCAATATGGGCCACTGCATCTAGACCCAGATTACTACGCTAGGAGTCTTTCTCTTGGTAGTGTATTGATCCATGGTGGCCCAGCTATTTTCCAAACAGTGACTCGCTGACTGAGAGACAAACATCTCCTGCTTTGAGAAAACAGACAGATGAAATAACTGGGTGCTGAGCTATAATTAAACCCCAAATATGTCCGTTTATATTTTATGAGCAGGTTGGTTAAACCAACCCTGGAATTAAATGCTAAATGATTTCACATCATTCAAAAACATGAAATGCACTGCAGGATCAAACCGAACTCAGTGATTTTCCCTCTGTGCCAGCTTCTATTTGCACAAAAAGCCAAAAGGTCTGGTGGCATTAAGCTGCTGTTGACTCATTTGGAGAATAATGACAAAATTGTAAAAAAATAAAAAAATAAAAATTATTAGTAAAAAAAAAATGTATATA